CGGCGGAATTGATGTTGATGAGGTCGTAATATGGATTAATGTTTTTACATTACCATAACAACAAATGACGTATCGCTGGTCAGACCTCTAATAATAGAGCCGCGCTCAGCAGGACAGCCAAGCTTAATTATAATTTCTTAACAACATAAAACGTCAATATCAGTTATCTCCAATCTTCGAGCTGTTGGTTTCCAAGACATTCTTTGACATTGATGCATTGCCGTCAATGATCAGGGTCGCCAAAATGATTTGCAATCTGTGTAAGTTACTGTTAACACTTCAAACATCTTTTCGACCAAGACACTGTGTGTGAAACGGGAGCCACTAATGCACGTTTTACCGCCACAACACATTGTCAGATACAGCTTAATTACCATTGTCAAGTCGTGGCAGTCCCAACATGATTACATCATTTGAGCGCTGAAATATTTCGACAGAATTTCTAAAACTCATGGAAATTGTCAGAACTTCTGATACGGCGGTGAGTTTATTACATCCAGGTTTGATATTATTCAGAGATTTTCCGATCGATTTGCCGTCCGCGGTCGGAGTATGTTTGAAATGCAAATAATGCGGCGTTATTATATAAACATGCATGCCACCCATGCCTTGTCTTCAGGCGACGGTCGGTAACTCTGATCGATGGTGCTATATGATACAAATCTGTATTCTCCAATAATTACCGGGACTTTCCTGCATATCATTTGATTTCTGTAGCCTTCAAGATTAGCGTAATTACCTTAAAATGTTTACGTCACCTTCTATAAATCACCTCTTATAGACACACCCAGGCTTCCCGATCTAACGTCAAAACAGGCAGAATAAAACAAGTTTTATCGCAAGGAATTTCCCCGACATTTGCAAATTACTTTCCCAAAATCGAATTAAAAAGCTTTATATTCAAATATTTGGTTATTTATCATAATTCATAATTTGAATGTCCTATAGAAAATTGTGATAAGTGTCGTTACATACCACAGAGAAATGGAAAATTGGCCTTGACGTGACGTGAGAGTGNGGGGGGGTTTTTTCCCCCCCCCCCCCCCCCCCTTCCTATTCTGATGCCGGTCGTCTTGCCATTGTTTGAACAATGATGAAATCAACTTATTTTTACTGATTCGAAACATTATGGTATGGAAAATATTCTGCCATGAATATAATTACAGCGCTAAAACATAAACATTGAAAATAATAATAACCGCGAATTATACATTGTAGCTCTAGATATTCCAGATAAAAACTACCGTGAATAATAGTATAGCTCTAATCCAACCCCGATAATATATTGTACCTATTGCTTTATACATTCATACAAAAATTATATTCATGATAATAAAAGACCAGATTAAAACTTACCGCAGCTATCGCATGTTAATACTGCAGCGCTATCCATGTACACGCTTTACTGTGTGCATTACCTGCCTTTTCGGAAAGAGTGCTTTTGGAAAACTTCGAAATCATCTCGGGGGTATACTTGTATAATGCAACGATAGTATTTCAAATAAAACATAATTAAACCTTGACTGTCCAATCACAAAAGTGTTCAGCACAATTACCTAACACGGGTATGCACGGTGACCATCAGATTCAGATTATTTTATTCCTTGTATAAGACACATCGGAAGGTAGACATACAATGACATTCAAATAGTACAGTGTACTACATTTACAATGATACATGTATATAATAATAGTCGAATACAATATGATGCATATTGTACAATGGCATACATGATAACAATCCAGTATATTACAATGAAATACTCTTTAAACGTGCAGTACGACAAAATGACATGCATCATAAGCGACATCATATTACAGTGACATACACCAAAATCGTTAGGTATGATTGATACAGTGACATCATAACAATAGTATATTACAATGATAACAATGCTATATCTTCCAATGACGTATTCTACAGGGAATGATAACAAGATTTAATTTAATACAGTTACATATATTGTATCTCAGACGAACCGTATGTGTCACGAATAAATACAAAATAGTAGAATAGCAAAGAACAATAAAATACACCATTCTTTATTAAAAAGAGAATGGGTCATGAAATAAGGTAAAATAACGAAAGGAAACCTACAAAAAAATACATTTAGCCCGGATTTCCGGAAATCAATAGTTTCCTCAGCGTTTAGAAACCCGAATCAATAAATCTCAGGAGAAATCATTCAGACTTCTCTTTGCCATTTTCATTTTTTTTTGGCAAAAAATTGTCACCATTATATGACTTCAATGAATAAAAAGTATCTAATTATGTTGAAGATAAAAAAAATAAGCAGTTTACACAATTTTAACGACTTTTCGAAATATAAACCCTTCCTACCTCTGAGGAATTGCTAATTTCAGTAAATAATTTTACTTTATTTCAAAGTTGATTTTTTTTTTATTTTACTGCTCAGGTACAATAAAAATGCAATACAAACGTGGTTAAATTTTTTGGAAATTAATCAGAAGTACAAGTGAACCGGAAGTTGCCCATTTCCCAAACTTCCGGTGAAATGGCCAGATGACAACTCCAATCACGGTTATTATGACTGTCCAGTACAGAAATAAGACAAGACACCCTCTGTGAATTTTGTAACCATTTTGTATTTTGGCTCTCGGTGTACTTGATATCAAACTAAAAACCGTGTGAAAACTGTTTCGGCAAAACTACAAATGTATTACTGTGCGACTTAGTGAACAACAGCTTTAGAAACATGTACTTATACTCTCTAACTCAGTCTGTTTGACGTGGAGTTCTATACACTATAACCAGTCTCGTTGACGCGAAACCCCAGGGTATACCAACACCTTACATGTGTTACCTGACCTGCGCTGTTGTACCATGTATTTATCAAATCACCTGGAGTGCATGGCCCTTCAATATTATCACCAAGGCAAAACAAAAACAAGATCAGAATAAATGTTTAGGATAACCTCAAAAGAACATCTTAAATACCTGTACATGTGATGGGTATTATTAACTCATACTTTACGGCCCATCAACACAGGAAAGGTCATAAGGGCCAATAAATGGTCGACGAAAACGATTTTGAAATAAAAATGACATCGAACAAACGTGAAGACAAAAAAACAAACCCCAACTCGAATATTGAAAGTGGCTATGTGGACTCTACAGTGGACATTGAAGTATCATTGTTGCTTCTTGGCGGACGCTATGCTTTACCTCGCCCGTCGATTTCAGATTCCTAAACACACAGAAGTTGTATTTACGTGCGTAAAGTAATATCCTAAGATGCTTTTTGGTTTTTAACGGGTTTTTGATAAGCTATAAAATTGCTTCAACAGCACATATCAGCCAGGTTTGCCGAGGAGATACCGTCTATGGTTTGGAGGGGGAATGGTTTTGCCTGTACCATTACAACTGATGAGCATGTCCTAGTTTCAATATCATAGAATTTTGTACATATAATGTCATATGTAATGTAGTGTCATTATACATGTACAATCACCGCCAAACACAGCAGACGTCCCGTATTAACAAATACGTGCCTTGGAAATAGTAATAAAAATTGACAAAAAAATAGCAATAACATTAGTATATAGAAATGTCCTATTTTTAAAAGGAATATGCATCTATCATCATATAGCCCTTTGTTTATACACGCGCTATAAAAGTCGTGTACATGTGCACTACAGGTGGATTTAAGGAATGACCAAGATTGTGTTTTGGTATAAACGGTATATACCGAAAACAATTCTTGGGCATTCTTATATAATTTAATTTTAAAAAAGTAGACAGACACGTTGTAAATGCACAGTTAAAGATTTTTTTAATTTTTACGTAAACTAAACAATTGCGCTAAAAAAAAGCGGCGTTGTATTTTTGAATTCTGAAGTGAAAAAGTAGTTCCGTCATCAGTTGTTTTTCTTTTTAGGTATATACGATATATACCAAAAAAAATATTATGGGGGAGATGGGCAAAATTAAATTATATAATAATAATTATAATGATTGGAGGTTCTGATACACCGCTTTATCACAACCTAGTTCGTAGGTCGTTTCAAAGCTGTTCACAAATCAATCCTTGGTTAAATGGACTTTGCATCCAGCCAATATTTCTTAACTCCATTGGGAGCATACAGCCGGTGCTGCCATTTCGGCGCTCACAGCTATCATTCAACAATTCTAGCACTGCCCATCCACGTACTCATTTACAGCTGAATAGACTGGAACAAACGGATTAAAGTATAGCTTGCTCAAAGATACAACACAGCGCCGTGGCTTGACTCGAACCCGCAACCCTTCGGTCAAAAGGCCGACATCCTACCATTAGACTGCTGTGCCTCCTATAAACTAGAAACTAGAGATCATGTTGGTCATGTTAATGAAGCAAACGGTTGCGGTCTGTCGTTGACTAGATTTACTGGTCACAGCGTTGTTATATCATTAATGGCTAGCTTTCAAATTACTACTCAAGGTCCATTTCTTATATAATGCACCACACTACAATTCCGTGATTTAACGAAAGTAAGATATGAACTGGTGAATTAATGAATAACTTAAATAAATCATGACTATATTTCTTATACCAGGAAGTAATTCGAAATAACATTAATAAATAAAAGAAGGATATTGTCGGACTGTTAATAAGAAACCCTACAGAAATCGTTCAATACAATGTATTGCCCAGAGGACGTAGTGGTATCTTGTCCTACACGTATCACAAAAAAAACTTCAAACCGACCAGAAATGTGTACGATCTTCATACAAATGTGAATCCGTGATACCGTTTTGTCTTTAGAAGTTCCCTTTATTCTACCTATCATATTGGTCCAAGCGTTGAACCATTGAGAATCGCCACATAGCTTACAATGAACAGCCTTTTTGTCAAGTATCTTTTTTTTCTATATATCTCTTTTTCTACTTCCAGTCAGTTCGTATTACAACCTTTGAGATATATCTTGTTTATCGATTGGTAGTTTGTGTGGAAATTATAGATTGAAGATTATATTTTTCTATATTTATTATTTTTCAGACAAGGAATACTGTATAGCCGACGCCTTTTAGCTGGTCGACAGACATGTAAGTTTAATCATTTTGCCGTGAAGTGTTGTACTGCAAGTCTTGAACAAGACCATCAACTGATGTGGGTTGACTACACCGCATGTTAAGTTCCTGACTGTGTTTAGCCTAACGACATATCGGGAAAAACCAACAAAACAAAACAAAAACTTTAGACATACAAAGCAGTACTTACTAACAGCGCAAACAATATTTCAGGAGAAAGTATACGGATAAGTGATAATTGTTCACGATTTCTACCATCAGTGTGGTCAACATAAACAAAGGAGATTTATCAATAAAATGATAGGTACATGTTAACTGACAAGGAAAAAACAGGAACAAAAACTGCGAAATATAAAAGATGGACTTGGTTTATTTCCAGGTAAACGCAGATTATGTTAGAGGGATAATCTCTGATACAGTGTACGTTGTTATCATACCTGTATCTAAGGAAATAATATATTGCATATTGCACCTCGTGCTATACCACGTGGCATATCATACCTCATCTTTATAACAGCGAGTCTGAGTTAATTATATTGGTCACATGACAGGGAAATATATATAGAACGTCACGCTCCCATCTCCGTTCGAGTTTCCCCTGTCATATGTCTCTTATTAGAAAAATGAACAAAAGAAATCACACCCGAGTTCCAAGTGACTAAAGACGATCGAAACAATAGCGCATGCGCCTGATAATCTGTATTGCTTTGTTATTGTTCTACTTCGATATAATTGACCTATATATTGACCTTGCATGTACACAAATCATTGTTGCCTTTATATTAACCATGCTTCTCTCGGACTTCGCCGTCGTGAAATATTATTAATCTCAGTGAAACAAAGAATCGTGTTTCCCTACTTCACGTGCAATGAATGTATATAATCATAGTATATATGTTATAATTATACGTGCAATTAAGCGCTATGATATAATGTCTGTATTTAACAATGTCTGAAGATGTATTTGCTGTTTTTCAGTAACATACTACTGACTCGTACAGAAAGGTGAACTCGCTGCGATTGTCATGATATACAATACATGTCGTTGTAAACCTTCCTTCCCAGCCGAGAGCTCCTCACGATGGGTCAGTCGGGGGCACACTGGGTCGAAGGTGGGATCACATGCTGCTATAACGAAGCCTGGAAGTGCGTCTGTGACACCCTGATTGTTACAGATGACGGCTCATGGCGACTCCACGACAAACACAATCGTTTGTGTTCGATCATAGGGCAATTTCTACTTCTGAATTGTCGACTTTTTGTCATTGAGTAAATGCGGCACACGTGACCTCTCTAAATACACAGTGCCCTCTCTCGGGGAGAACGTGATATACTTGGTAGTGGCAGTTTGGTCCCGGTCTATAGAACCAGCAATGTATCGTATTTATATTTAAACGAAATACCGAGTTTAGGATTGTATAACTAATATACAATTATGTGTTGCTATGGTGACTCGTTGTAATATAAAACTTACATTTATACAAAAAAGTCCTTCTTCACGTTGGTGTTTTTGTAGTTTAATCAGAGATGGAAAACATTGAAGTTTTACACTGGAAGTTGCAACTGTTTCCTGGTACTGATATCGACATGCAGTGTATATCCAGGGACCCGAGAGAGTCGCGACAAGGTTACCGACCTATCTTCTATTGATCCGAGAAAATGAAAGTTATTGTTTTAGTCACTGTTATATTATCCTTCGTGAACATTCGAGGAAAAGGAGGCATGGTACTTAGAACCTGTTTAAAACCACTCCTGCATAACCTGTATAAGACATTGGCACTTTACTTCGCTCTACAGTCACTCCTTAAGTAGTTGAAAAATACAGCGCATCTTACTTCTCCTGTTTTGGTTGTAAAAGACGTCTATCTTCGCTTTATAGTCCATCCTGAATTGGTTTTTGAAAGACAGCACGTCTAATTTCGCTTTATAGTCACTTCTGAATAAGCTGTTAGAGACAGCGCGACTTACTTCGCTTTAAGGTTCCCCTTAAGTAGTTGTAAACGACAGCACGTCTGATTTCGCTTTACAGTCACTCCTGAAGTGGTTGTTAAAGACAGCGCGTCTTATTTCGCTTTAAGGTTACAACTGAAGTGGTTGAAAAAGACCACTTCATAGACCATAAGATATTAAGTCTTACCTCACTTTAAAGTTACTCCTGAGGAATCTGTTAGAGACGGCGCGTTTGTCTTCGCTTTAAGGTCACCCCTTAATATAAGAAGTGGTTGTAAGAGACAGCATGTCTGACTTCGCTCTAAGGTCACTCCTGAAGTGGTTGTTAAAGACAGCGCGTCTTACTTCGCTTGATAGTCACCTCAGAATAAGCTGTTAGAGATAGACAGCACGTCTGACTTTGTTTTTTAGTCACTCCTGAGGTGGTTTTTGAAAGACAGTGCGTATAATTACGCTTAATAGTCACTCCCGAATAAGCTGTTGGAGACAGCGCATCTTACTTCGCTTAAAGGTTACCCCTTAATATAAGTTGTTGTAAAAGAAAGCACGTCTTACTTCACTTGATGGAGATATAATGCAAGAGAACATGTTGTTCAATTTTGTTGTTCATATCAAAACCGTGGTGTTTACAATTTACACGTTAAATACAAACTTGTGTCTTAAAAAATCCGATTAGCCAATACAACTTCGCTAAACTATCCCTTTTTATCTGTTATTTCCTTCTTTTAAATCTATCTATTCTACCTTTCCGATCACACAATGATGTCTGTACAGTGTAATCAACGAGGAAGTACACAAAACCCTGCGTGGTGTTGCCTTTAGCCGAGTCATGGCCATTTTGGTTCGATCATCCAAACATCCGTCTACTGCCGTAAATGTACGTAGATTCCATACAGTGATTGTGTCGTAATCTAAATATACAGAAAATTGCATGCAGTACTTATCAGAGACGGCGTGTGTTTCGATGATTGATGACTTTTGTTCCCCGTAGATAAACGGAACACTGCATTGCGATGTCGTTTTTTATCTGTTCTGATTTACATACAAGATACAATGTACCATTAACACACGATGACAATGACTTATGTTTTAGATTTAACAAAATAGTTTACCCTCGTACAGATAGTATTCTGTTGAACACACATTAACAAATAAGATAATACAATTAATGATGTTATATATAAATTAATAAATTCCAAAATGAAAATCTTGAAACCTCCGCGATTAAATAGCAGCCAACACAATAACTTGTAAGGATTTGCTTGGTTACATTTATACTGATTTGACAGTCCTAGGGTCCTAATGGAACAGAGTTTCGATAGTGTATAATACTATGACGCTATCAGTGGGTGCGGGTATTGCTGACTCTATATCCATAGCAATGTAATCGTTTTTTAATTAAATATGTAGTCACAAGTTTTTGTGATCTTTTTTATAGCACTTTCTTCTCTACCTGGCTATTTGTTTTCTGTATGTGTTGAAATAAAATCTTCAGGTGGACTTTTTCAGACATCAACTTTTCTTTCTGAGATTTAGATGACAATGTTCGCGACTTATCCACGACAATCTTTCCACCTCTGACTCCTAGAACCTATTCCTAACATTGTATACATTTATCGTAGCCTCCCGCAAAGCGCCAGTCACCATGTACAGTACCAGAGTGATATTCGTCAATGACGTAGTCCATGGTTTAGCTGATATTTTAAAATCAAGGAATCAGTTTCCTAGGTTTTGATTGGACTCTTAAACACTGATCATTGTGATACTTTTTTACACGGTGTGGTTTTGTTTTACATTGTACGTGCCACTTTGAGACATGGAGTGGTTTTGTAAGATAACAAACAATCTTGTATCAAAAGTATGACCGAATATACCGTCACGTACATCAGCCACGACCATTATTCAAATATCATGAGTTTTTTGCAAGCTTTCGTGTATTTCATCTATAAAACAAATGTACATGTATTGTACCTTGGTTACTCATTGCCAATATCCAAAAGCGCCAGTGTACCCTGTTTGGGTGAGACGAAATGTGTCTCTGCCAACCGGAAGTTGTTACTTATCACCAACACTGTCTTGTGTCGGCCTCCACTTCCTCTGTCTATTTGTAGCTCCATACCCCCTCCCCCTTACCCTCCACCCCACACACCTCACCCCACCACCCTCAAACAGAATCCTAGTTCTTGTCCCCACTTGTCCCCATCCCTGCTCCCCCAATCCTCGGTTTTCTCTCCCACGTGCTCACTCAAACACCCTGACTACTCCCGTTACACATTTATTTCGTTTTTATCGCTGTTTAACTCATTTAAGCTGATGTTTGATCATAGAGTTTTACTTCAAAGTGAATATGTTCGATACAGTTTTACCTTACAGGAGATATGTCATCTGTGTGGATATTTATTAGGACTTCCTGAATTCAAACTTCGGAATTTCGTGTCTGGACACGCGCCAATTCGTGGCCTGTCGGCCAGACACTGCATGGCAACCGATTTCTGACAAGCGTGTTTTTGAGATGGATTATCGACCGTGATCGACAGGATTGTTCAGTGTACACGTAGCTGGTTTTATATAACCTTACAAAATACTGAAATTTTCGCGCTTTCATGTTATTTTACATATGTAATGTCTATGTATAGAGAGCATCATCATGTCTCGTTCTTGTTCTCTTTCTCCAATGTCCGATAACTTCCATATGTTGTTTCCTATTTTTGTAGGTTTTGTTCATTACTCTGGCGTCGATATCTTAAAACATCTGAACTGAGTTGTTGTCCCGGAAGTTGATTTCGTCCCTACAAGTCAAATTTACAATGGGGGAAGTATTTAAATCATCTCTAAGGAACGTTCTAGACACTGTGACCAGTTGTTCTCACAATGTACGTCGTCAACTCTTACTCAAGTATGGTTGTCTTTTCAATGTCAACTTGTCTACATGATACTTGCACGATTTAGTCATCCCAGAGTATTTGTGTCATCCGATACGACTGCTTTGTTTTTTGTTCTGCTTTGTTAAATCATGTGTCTTCTCCAGATTATTGCAATTGGTTTTTTTTTCTGCCAGTGCTGCC